AGGCTGCTGCTTGCTTTTCATCCCAATCCCTGGATGATAAGAGAGTGAGGGGAAAGTGTTTGCATTCCATTTGCTTTTCATCCCGTTCCCCGGATGCTTAGGAAGTTAGGAGAAAGTACTTGCATTCTGTGCATGCTTCTCACACTTCCTTAACATCCGGGGAACGGAATGAAAAGCAAGCTGCATCCTGGCGCCCATTGTTGTTGCTCCCCCCTATCCTCGCAAAATTCTGTCCTTGCATTATGGTATATCTCTGGGGCGCCAGGCTGGGGAGCTGGGGGAATTGGCGGAAGCCTTTCTTTTGTTAACTCAAGAATTACTTGGAGAAGCATTCATGTATTTGTCCCCGTGGTTGTCTGTGTAAGTGCAGGACTTGGAGAGGATTGTAGTTTGTCATATCATCACAGTGAGAGAGGATGGCCAGGTTAGAATGCCAGTGGGCTCAGTGGTACCCCAGTTCAAAATTGCACAACAGGGAACCCATCACAAACACTCATTCAGAGGGCAATTCCATCATTAGAATTAATTTTATAGCAGTTTTTAAAGTGTCTTTGTCTTTTGATGAAGGGGTTGCTGTGAGTTTTTCTATGAGATATTCAAAATGTAATTAAGATTTTTAAAAGATGTCTCACATTCAGTTTTTCTTGGCTACACGATCCCTACATAGTGCCAAACCAGGAAAGCAGAACTGTAAATGCCAACCCATGTAAGCGTAGTCCAAAATTAATTTAATTATTTTTGAGACTTTGAGGTTAATTGTAAAGTTAACTATAAATTTAAAAGCTTAGTTAATAATATTTGACAAAAATATCAAATGAAAATTCTTGATTAGTGACATGTATATCGTTTATTAGACATAATTTTAACATGTAGCATGTCATTTTATATCAGAACAAATGTTATAGACCTCATATTAATTATAAAATCCATTGTGGATTTTAATGTATAAATGAAATTATTTCAAGGGAAATGCAAGCACCATATACAGAGTGTCTTACTCAAGGTTCTTTTCATTTTCTTTATTCTGAGGTCTTGGGAGTTTTTGTGTTTCACTTTCTTTAGCAATATTCTAATGCTCATTAAGTATCCAAGTTAATGGCATAAATGTGACAGAAAACTCCCCTCTCAAAATTTTGGTTTACTAAATTGAGACTACTGAAGCCATTAGATGTAAAACATTTATGCTCAGCAATGTTTTCTTTTTTGGTCACCTTGATGCTCTTTTGCTGTTTCTCATCCATTTTTTTAAATAATTGAGACTCTGGTTTGGCTTTCATTTTTCAAATTAGGAAACAATCAAGTCCTCTGAGATGTTATCTGTAATATTATAAAATAGTCACAGGTCATCCATTATGCACCCAGCAAAAACCAGAATAGGTTCTGGGCACAGGACACTATCCTACTCTATTGATGCTTGATAGGAATAAATGTTTGCATGTGGCCCTAATAAAATTAAGATAAACTTCTTTTATGTTTTGACAGTCTCTCTCTAGCCACTATAGGGTATTTCTAGACTACATCCCTCTTTTGACGGAGGGATGTAAATTAGGCACTTAGAGATTGCAAATGAAGCCAGGATTTGAATTCCCCACGCTTCATTTGCATAATCGCATCATGACGCTCTTTCAAAAGAGCGCTACTTCGAAAGTAAAACTGCGGTCTAGACATGGTTCTTTCGAAAAGGGAAAGCTTTTTCGAAAGAGCCTGTAAACAGGATCCTGAGGTTTACAGGATCTTTTGAAAAAGCCTTCTCTTTTTGGAGTTTTGCTGTTAATGCACTGTGCATCATAGAGGGCATGTCTAGACTACATCTAGACATTCGAAAGAAGGATGTAAATTAGATCGAATTGCAAATGAAGCCGGGATTTGAATCTCCCACGCTTCATTTGCGTAATCGCGGCATGGCGCTCATTTTTTGAGGTTTGTAGGATCTTTGGAAGATGGCTTCTATTTTTGAAAGACCCACATCTAGGCTGGTTTCACTTTTGAAACAGGGCTTTTTCGAAAGAGCGTCATGATGCAATTATGCAAATGAAGCGTGGGGAATTCAAATCCCGGCTTCATTTGCAATTTCTAAGTGCCTAATTTACATCCCTCTGTCAAAAGAGGAACGTAGTCTAGACGTAGCTATAGAAAATGATTTTTCTTTTTTTACTCTAGATTGATTATAGGGTTCATTTTACCTGTTTTCTATTTTTTATTTATACATTCTCTTACTTTCCTATATGTAAAGTTTCCCGAGCCTTTTGTCTTCTTTTTTTTCTTAGAAGTCATGCAGAATTTTCCTGGGGGAAAAGAGAGACTCTAGAGTATGTGCTTTGTGCTTCTGTCTTGGTCAGTTAGGATGATCTCTGAAGAATATAATTAAGAAGAGTGGCATAGAGGATAATATAGCACAGAATTAATTGATGACGCTACTAAGTATTGCAGGATATAAATCATACCCAGTGCAGGAAGGCATACATATGAAAAAGTAGTAAGCATTCTGCCCATGAATCGATATTGCTAATTCCCTATGTAATTAATTGTTTATTTCTAGTAAAATATGTTTCAATGAGGTAGTTTGACAGTGCTAATAAGATATTAACTGGTTGTTAACACCTTTGCAGAGTTGACCTTCTTATGTTGGTTGTTGGTACAGGATGGTGTTTGACGTTGCACACAACACCATCATAACTCATTGTTTCTTTGGTAGGTTATTTGATAAGCAGAAGTGTTAACTAACATTAATTGTAGTTTTCCTGTTGGGTTGACAATTCTAAAAACAACTTGGGGCCCCTCTGAAGGTCAAATGTGTTTGAAAATTTTTACATCTGCAGAGGATATATAGTTTTCAATTAAATATCATGTCTGAGTTTATCAACCCCAATCAGCAACTCTTTCAATTTTAAATGTATTGAGGACAGTACCTCAGTTGAGTTACCCATACTGAAAAGTAACACTCATTTCCTCCCTTGCTATAATTAGCAGGACATTTTTAAATGATTGTGAAGCTCACTAACGGAAGTGTCTCCTTCTGGATGTTTTTACATGCTTGTGAAAGACGAAACTGAATAACTGCATGATTAATTAAAATGAACAGCTGAAAATTTTGCATGGGGAATTCAAAGAATAAAGGGCCTACATTCATCACTAAAAATAGTTGCTGATTATTTATTCACCATGGCTGCTAGTACATTGGGTAAAGTGAAAATGTTGTCACTGATCACAGAACCACTGTGCTGCAAGTGTGGCAACACATTTTTTTTTATTTATTTAGAGTAAGATGTGTTAACATCCAGCATGACAAAATTTGTACAAAGTTCACAATTTAAAAATGAAGTATCACAGCAACTTGTGATTCCACACATTTATAGCAAAATTAAAATGTCAACAAATCCATGCCGTGTAGTACAAAAATAAATCAAACTTCAGTTCCACAGAGAGCACAATAAATAGTTTATACAAAATTCTGTCTTAATAAATGATTACTTAAATTAACTTAGAAATGAATATGAACAATAAGTTATAATAAATAAACTCTGACTCACAATAATTTCATATGAAAGGTCAGCATTCTAATATGTGACACTTTTGTGATCCCTATATAATAGTCACAGATAACTTCTGATTTGATATTATGTACCAACATTAGATGAGCAGCAGATTTGTGCTTAAAATCCCTTTCCATTGTACATAGGTGATAACAATAAGAATCCAAAACTGATACTATCTATTACTCTACTGAAAGCATTACTATATTGGCAAAGAAGCTGCAGACACAATGCAGTGGAAAAATGCATATGCCATTATGAACAATGAAAGCCCTAAAAGGAGGCTAGGGCAAAAGTACAATATATATGGCAGAAGGTGAACAACAAGCACCTTGCTTCAGCTCTCAAAAAGGCAATTCTGAGCATGGCAGCTACAACTAATAGCACAACAGAAAAAGGGCACTGTACAGATAAGATTGCAGAGCCCCAAAGTAATTACATAATCTTTTCCCAGCTAGTTATTAAAGTCCTCATGGAAAACTGTAAGCTTTTGTACAGTGAATAGTATAAAGTGCCGCTGGGATATACATATATTTATACATATATATATATACCGAGGTTGAATATTGTATCAGAATATTTGTTGTGAGATCCCTGTAGTCTCCCTTAGCAATATTACTGGATTGGCCATAATGGCTTCCACTATAATTTGTTCAGGTTCAGTGTCACAAGGCTAATGACACAAGAAATTGCACACCTCCGTATGGATATATAGGGCAAGGTAAGTGCAAATAGTCAACTGGCACATTGTGGGGACAATGACCCTGTAAGTCCTGTTCTGCTAAAAATATTTTATTTTTTACAAAACCCATCTTTTTCATAACAAAATTTTAAAGTACTTTTGTACTTTCTGCATAACATCAAGACATGGAAGGAAAAGATATGATATCAATTTTAAATAAATTCAACATCTGTAAAACACAACACATCAAAATTACTACTTAAAAAGGAAAAATGTAGTAATAAAAAGTGGTCTTATGCATACATATAGTGCAGTCATTTTGAAGAAAACAATCAAATATTGAAAGTACAAATAAGATTGATCTTAAAATGATCCAGTTTAAAGCAAAAAAAAGTGCTGAAGTATATTTAGTTACATTAAAATTTGATTGCATTCATTTTTGCAATAGATAACAGTAGAACAAATATAAAGCATACGTGAATGCTGCAGTGATGATTGTTCTCCAACAAAAAGCAGAACATAAATATTAAAATATGAAAAATGGGATCAAATGCTTGGCAAAGCAAAAAGAATCTTTACTGAACTGCATTCCTACTAAATCTAGCAATGAATCCAGTTCAGTAACTACAGTAGACAAAAATCATTTGTCTTTATTCCAAAATTAAAGATGTAAAAAGGCAATATTTGTTTTAAAATATTGTCCTCCATCTTAAATTGGAAATACAGAATTTCTGAAAGATGAACTACATTGCTATAAGACATAGTTCAGAGGGGAATTAAGCAGTCCAGGAGAAATAAGAGAATGTTGGCTCCAAAGTTTATTTGAAAATAAAAGCTGAAATCTTCAGGTTGTCCACCTCTGATATAGTTCCTTTCATAATGGAGTTCCCATTTTCATACCATGTAATGCTTAGAAGTTAATTAAAAAGTGCTGTTTAAGCTGCTTTGAATCTTCTGTCAAGTTTCCATGGCTTGATGTTGTCTTACAATAAATTACCCATTTTGTATCTTACATCTAATCCATGCCATTTTCTTGGATTTCAAAAAACCTCATTTTATTGCCCCCACCACACACCATCCTCTGAAAACAAAAGTCACATAATATTTTCAAGCATTGTTCAAAAATAAAGCATTTTTGCAACCAATTCTTGCTATGAAACAATATGCACACAAAATGTATTTCTTAAATCCCATAAAATCCTCCAACATGAGGCAAAATGATAGTGTTTAAAAAGTGGCTGCAGACCGCAACATTGTCATTCAAAGCTGTTTTTTTTGTCCATTTCAGTTCAAAATACTAAAACATTTAATCACTAAAGCATTAAAAAGAATTTACACTCTATTTATTTCGATCAGCTTACCTCTTCAGAAATATATATACCCCAAAAATGTGCATACATTAGCAGCTATAAACATTACATGGCATATCACACTATGTCAGCTTATATGAAAACGTACAAAATGTGAATGTATTCAAAAAACTATTCTGCAGTTACTATCTTTAAAGCAAGACATAAAATCATTATGAAGTCTTGTAAGCATAACACTGTTTCCAACAGAAATAAATATATAACACTTTCTGGTAAATTACAGCAGCAAAAAACAAGAGGCATCCTTTTTTTAAGCAAGACTTTCACCACTATAGCAGCTGTTCAGACCTGAATTCCTCTCACAGCCTGCTTTATATTTTCCAGTAGGGCTTTATTTTCTGGACTCTGATAACGATCTTGATTTGTATACATGTCCGTCAAAGTGGTCACGTAAGCATCAAAATTTTGTTCATTGATTGGTTCCTACGAGATATTAAATAGTAGTTCATATACAACTTTTATTTTTTTGATTTGTATATTAATTTAAGCATAACATACTATCATAGCATATTGCCACTGTTTTTATATTTAAAATGCCTATTTAGATCTTAATTTTACAGGATACATTGGAATAGGCCCACTGTGCCTTTGTTAGCATTTACATTTATCTTTATGGTTTCAGTGTTGTTACCACAAATATCCAACTGGTTGAGGAACCATAAACATAAAAAAGACATCAATTGTATGAGGTGAACTGAAGATCGCCAAATTCCTTAACTTGTGCTCTCAATCACTTACCATATGTGGCAGCTGGATATTAGCTAGACTATGAATTAAAGACTGGCTTAAATTGGCCAGTTCATGAAGAAGAGACTCATTTTGCTGTTCAATTACTTTGTTCTCCTCTTCTATCGTCTTCAAGTTGCTCTCCATTGTGGTAATCTAAAATGGACAAATTTGTGTACAATGTAATATAAGGCAAGCCGTTATAAAGCATGCGTTTGAGAAGTGAGTGATAACAGTAGTATCAGGAAAAAAATGGACTTTTTGTTTAAATACAAAAATTTCACTTGTTTATAATTTTTTTATAATTTTACGAAGGGTTGGTTTTTTTGCTATGTAAAACGGCACATTTTATTACTTTAACGGCTTGCCTTTTTGTATAGAAGTATTGATTTATCTTACATTCAATTGTACGAACTTTGTATTGATTTACATATTTTTAAAATTAATATCCTTTTGTAACTAAAGGGACTTATAAGGGTCTCAATCCTGCAGTCCATGTGGGCACACTCTTATACTTGCTGTGACCCCAGTGGAAGCACCATATGGATATAAGAATCCACCTTTATCCATGAGGTTGCAAGATCAGGGCCAGTATGAATAGATGTTACATTTATCATATTTTTTGTACTATATACCTTATTAACTAAGTGTGCATAGTTCTCTGCTGTCATCATTATTTAGCTCTTTGGAATTATATTTTTATCCAACCTATAATACCCAATGAATATTCTCACAGAACTGCCAGTGCAAGCTAAGAATTACATATTGTTGCACAATAGATATTTGTATGTATTGCATTATGAACAGCTTTCAATGTTTGTGTTAATGACAAATAAATTCTGTTTTGTTTGAAATATATTTGTAGTTGTGAGACTTCTAAAGAACTTAAAGACAGAACTTATGACATTTCATTAGTCTCAAATAGGCTGGAATGTAGTAAAAGAAACTGCTGCATAATCATGAAGCTAAATCACTTATATAAATCTATAAGTAAATTCCTGGATGTGAGATTGATATAAATACAGAAGTCACACTTACAAAATTTATTCCATTTAGAAAGGTTTTAGTATTTCCAAAAGTACTCCACATTTTAAGTATGTAAGTCAAACCTTAAGAATCTTTCTAAAATGAAGAAACCGGTGTGGTACATGACTAGTTTCCATGCACAGGGCATCTCATCTTTAATTAAGTGTAAAATGTGTGTGTGTGTGTGGCATAAAGAGTACATTGGCAAGAGGGTAAAAAATTAAGTCAAAGAAGTGTAAAAGAATACATAGGGCTGAATTCTGAAAGTGGCTACATTCTGAAAATGACAGTCACTCAGCTCTAATTTGACATCCACAGTTAATTGCTGGTATAAGAAGTTATAGGAAGAAAAGATAGCATTTTTATATGATATATCTCATTTGTCAGCACAATCAGTATGAAGGTCTGAAGAGGAGATGGTTCTTATGTGAACATCCTGGGTCAACAATAAGTTTTAAGAAGTTTTTCTGGCACAACCTGATAGTTGCCTCAAGCCCGTAATTAACACCCATAATGGATTCTGGGTTGTTTTTTTTAAATAATTTGGCCTGTAACACGAATTGATAAAAGCAAATATTTTCTTAAGAGTTTGGTGCACACATTAGACTAGCTTTCAAGTAGGTTTAGTTTTGACTACTGATATTTATGCAGAAGATAATACAACGAGAGACACATACTATCAATATTAGAGGGGAAGATTTCTTCAGGATGATTTCTCCAGCAAGCAGCAATAGTTTTTACTTTAACATAGAGGATGGAAACATGTTCCTTCTCTGATGTTATGTTTTCAGTTTGTATATGTCAGAGAGCAGGCCAGGCACATGTTCTAAACTTATGTAAAGCCAGAATTACTATTGGGATTGCATATTCATTATAGCACTGCAAGTCTCCTACCTAAAGACCCTAATCCTACAAGTTCTTTCATATTAAAGTAACTTTATGCTGTGAGTAGCAATATCATTATTTGAACATTGAGGGTGTTTCATTTTTTTATTCAATTTTTCTATATGTCCACAATGTACGAAGTACTCATACAGAAATCTTGTGGCAGGTTACTTATGCCAGGATGAGATATGGCCTAACAAATACTTGAGTGCCCACAAGGAAGGTATCTAAAAAAAACCTCAGTTACAAAAAACCCTACAAGTCCTTGTGTGGACTGCACATGCTATATTTTATTGATGTAAAAGCAAACAGCATATGGACAGGAGCACGTAGGTTTCAAAACTTAGATCCTAGTCCTGCAGACACACATAGGCCACGTCTACACTGGCCCCTTCTTCGGAAGAGGCATGCTAATTTCGAACTTTGGAATAGGGAAATCCGCGGGGGATTTAAATATCCCCCGCGGGATTTAAATAAACATGGCCACCGCTTTTTTTCCTTTCAAGTAGGAATAAGAGATCCTCCGGAAAAGGGCTTTATTCCAGAGGATCGCGCCAGTCTGGACGCTCTTTTCCGGCTTTTCCCCAAGCCGGAAAAAAAGTGGCGGCCATGTTTATTTAAATCCTGCGGGGGATATTTAAATCCCCCGCGGATTTCCCTATTCCAAAGTTCGAAATTAGCATGCCTCTTCCGAAGAAGGGGCCAGTGTAGACGTAGCCATACATGGCACAACTACATACATTGAACTGTAGGTCAGTCTCACGGTTTTAGATTTATCCTTATCAATACTATATAGTTATGTATGATTACATAGTAAAACTATGAAAAAATGAATCAGTACCTACAAAACTCAAATAATGATAAGCAGAGTCAAATGTATGTTTACCATAGAAACAAACTTTCCACATGAGTTTGGCTAAGACATAATTTTACAACATATCTGGGACAGATCCTGCCTGCTCATGCATGAGTATACAAACAGGAGACAGAGGGTGCAAGGAACACTTGCACAGAAAGCCAATACGTTACTGGAGCTGAGTGGAGTTTTCAAAAATAGTTAATATTGGTCTAACTCTGTTCCCACTAAAGTCATTGGGTATTTTATGGTTGAATTCAGCGAGAACAGAGTTTGGCAAATGGTGAGCTCTGTGTGGAAAAATGTAATCTCAATGGACACCACACGAACTTGCTCCCTATTTTCTGTCCAATCTGTGTGGACTCCAAATAGGATGAAGCTGGGCTGTGGACTGTCCTTTCCAACCAATCAGTGACCTGGTGTTGTTACCATGGAGAGTTCTCACTGTACCATATTACAGGTGTAGCAGTTGTTGCTTCTTTGTGTACTCCCTTTGCAAGTAGAATGTCATGGGCACTACTGTGTTCTCCATCTACTCTCTTTTGTCATAGCTGCATCTACTAATGCCACGATTTAGAGATATGAGATTTAACAGATATGAGAGTTGTATAGAATCTTACAAGAAAGAAATGCAGAGATGGCTACACAAGTCACATTTTGGCAGCAATTTTAGAAAAAAGTATGTAGCCATCTCTTTTAGATTTCAACAACTGGTGGTAGCTGTGGTGGAAAATAACTATTTAACAGCATCGTAAATACTGTTTTCTAAATGTAAATTAAGAACATACGAAATGTGAGCAAAAGTATGAAAGAAAACATTTTTTCCTAAGACAGCTTTTCTCCTATATTTCTTTTAACAATTATGTGTAAAAAGTAGCTAAATTTAAGGCTACATAAAACTGTTACCTGAGTTCTGAGTTTAATCATATCAGCTTCCATCTGTGAATTGGATTCATTTAGTTCCTTGATTTCTTCATCTAGCTGCTTAATTTCTTCATCATTTTCTATACCTATGCAATATAAAAATAAAAGATTTATTAAAATAATTAAGCTATAAATCTGTGTTCTGCAACTGAATCATTTCATGTTTGAAATTTATGAAAGTAAAAAGTTCAGAAACATTAAATCTGCACTTTCCATTTGCAGTTAAACCCATATATTCTCCACAATGTCTCTTTTAAGACTTGTGGCATTTTTTTCAATGAGAAGGGTAGAAACTGCTTAGGAAGAGATAAAAACATAACGCCAGCCTTAAAATATACTGATCATATCTTTGCATTATTAGCAATGTACCTCTACTAATTAATTCTGCTGCATTGTCATACTTGACTTTTTTTAAAAGTACTGGCAATGTCTCTTGTCCTGGAGAACATTTCAAGATGCCAAGGTTTTCCCATGCTTTCATAAGGCTGAGCAAGCCATCCCTAGTCGTCTTCTTTGGAGCAGTCTCTTTGGCTAGCTATGGATTAGCTGCCTCTACATCTTGCCTATTAATCATTATGCCTACTTGCATCCTGCTATTATTGATCATGTCACCACACATGCATTTCATTTTTGCCACATTCATAAATGGCTCATATTCCTCACTATTTCTATAGAGTCTAATAACATTTGTTGCATTTATGCTCTGAGCACATTTAAATCTGTAGAATGTGGCCAGAGCTAGAGGTTTCTAACTCAGTGTTGTGAATTCCACCCTGAAATACCTGTAAAAACCTAGCTATAGGACCAAAGTCTCTGAGGGTATGTCTACACTACCACCCTAGTTCGAACTAGGGTGGTAATGTAGTCAACCAGAGTTGCAAATGAAGCCCGGGATTTGAATTTCCCGGGCTTCATTTGCATGTTGCCAGGTGCCGCGATTTTTAAATGTCCGCTAGTTCAGACTCCGTGCCCCGCGGCTACACGCGGCACGAACTAGGTAGTTCGGAATAGGCTTCCTATTCCGAACCACCGATACTCCTCGTGTAACCGCCCCACCCCCATTCTTTTGACTTCTGTTGAAAGAACTCAATGGCAGTGTGGATGTAAGTATAGTTTTTCTGGAAAAAACAGCTCTTTTTCCAGAAAAACTCTAGCTGCTAGAGTATGAGCTACCTAAGTAGCTGACCTGACATAGGTGCCTAGTTCCAGGAAAGGGTTTTTAGCTGAGGATCCCAAATAGAGGGAGGTACTTATCTCTGCCCATCAGACATGTAGACATTGTCAACCATTTAGTTCCCTATGTCCCTCTCATCTCACCACCCCGTAGCATGCTTGGTTAGCTTGAGTGGCTTTGCACTAAGCCTGCCAGTTGCTGAAAATTGCTCTCCTAAGCACTTCACTTTCCCCATGTGGGTCGGATCCAGTCCAGGCTTGCCTGACTCCAGCCTGCAAGGCTCAGTATTCCTCCCTTCCCCAGCAGGAAGCAAGTGTTGACACTCTAGCCCTGCAGGGATGGTGGTGCAGGGAGACTGCAGGGCTACAGCACCAGCACTGCCTCCCCAGTACTGGGGAGGAGAAGCTCAGATCCTTGGGGGCCGGATTTGGACCCTGGGCCGTAGGGTCTCCACCTTTTGGGGTATAGAGAAGGCAAGAGGAGGACACTGACCTCTCTGTGTAATGAGGAATATGGACTACAGGTGAAGGATATGGGGTACGTGTGCAGGAGGGAGTCTGATAGGGCAGTGGAACAGGAGAGGCAAGTATGAACCTCCATGGCCAGGGAAAAAAGTAGTCAGAGGGAGAATATGATGGATAGGAGACTGTGAGGGGAAAGACAGGGCACTCATGAAAGACAGAAGAGAATGGAGGAGCCTGGAGGGAGAATGCAAGTGGGACAGAAGTCTGAGTGGAACAGGGAAGATAGACAGGAGGCAAGACAGTGTTTGGGATAGGGGATGAAGAGAACAGAATGACAGCACCTTCATCTAAGGAAGTTTGGAGGGAGAAAGTGGAGTCTCCTTCCAGGCAGCCAGTGGGGAGGCTCATATTTTTGCTTATATGTTAAAGGTTGCTTTTTTAACCTGATCACATACAAATTGAAGGTATACAGCTCTCTTTATAGGCTCAAAATCCAAAAGGCACTTACAAGAAAATATGTGATTTTTGAATCTCATGATTTTTAAACCAATTTCATGCTGTCATACACACTTAGGGTATGTCTACACTGCATTCCTCTTTCGAGAGAGGAATGAAAATGCAGCTGAGTGAAATTGCAAATGAAGAGCGGATTTGAATTTCCCACGCTTTATTTGCATAATCGTGTCTGGGCACTGGCAAATGAAATTTAATGTGGATAAGTGTAAAGTAATGCACATCGGGAGAAATAACCCCAACTATACGTACAGTATGATGGGGGCTAATTTGGCTACGACAAATCAGGAAAGAGATCTTTTCTCTGAAAACTTCCATGCAGTGTGCAGCGGCGGTCAAAAAGGCAAATAGGATGCTAGGAATTATTAAGAAAGGGATAGAAAATAGGACCCAGAATATCTTACTGCCCCTGTATAAAACTATGGTACGCCCACATCTTGAATACTGTGTACAGATGTGGTCTCCTCACCTCAAAAAAGATATTTTGGCCTTAGAAAAGGTTCAGAAAAGGGCAACTAAAATGATTAGGGGTTTGGAACGGGTCCCATATGAAGAGAGGTTAAAGCGACTGGGGCTTTTCAGTTTAGAAAAGAGGAGACTTAGGGGGAATATGATAGAGGTCTATAAAATCATGAGTGGTGTGGAGAGGGCCGATAAAGAAAAGTTATTTATTAGTTCCCTAAATAGAAGAACTAGAGGACACCAAATGAAATTAATGGGTAGCAGGTTTAAAACTAATAAAAGAAAGTTCTTCACACAGC